GAGAGAGAGAAGTGCTGCTGCTGTAAACTTCTTATCTGATGTAATAATATTTATTAAGGTTGATGCTGGACCTTTTCAGCCACTCTCTAGTTTGTTTAAATTTTATTCTACAACAGAAAATAATTACGATGCAAAATATGCAGTTTTATGGTAACTAATAAAGCTTAAGGGAAGAGGCATTGTATGCTTTTGTTTGTAATATTTGTATCGGGGTTAGCCTGCACAGATAATCCTGTCTTCCAGGATGGTCATTTTTACAAAAAAAACAATGTTGTTAATAGAGGAGCTCTTAATTGAGTAACAATTTTTTTTGTTTGTTTTATTGATCCACATGATTTTTCAAATGTGTTAAACCTTTCTTGGAAAAAAAAAACATAAGCAGAGCTTAGATCAAATGTGTCAGATGGGCAGACTTTCTTAAACTGTCCTGAGTTGGTTATTTTAAAGTATAAAATGCAAAATAAAAACTGCATCACTTTGTTTTGTTTGTTCAGGAGCTGCCAGAGTATGACCAGCCTGTTCAGTAACACCATGTCTCCAGCCAAAGATGGTAACTCTTCTCTGCCTCGTCGCTCCAGCAGCCTTGGCAAACCTCCCCTTCGGGCGCTGTATGATTTACTCATCGCACCCATGGAGGGGGTGAGTGTGAACTGTGCAACTCATTGCCTGCCTCTTTATAGTTTTGTTAATGAATGAATTAGATAAGAGAACACCTCATTTAGGAGCTAAATGAAACCAAAGCACCCCATTGTGACATTTATTTTACATTTGGGTGTTTGCATTCTAATCCCTTTTGTTGACAGGGCCTGATGCACTCCAGTGGGCCTGTTGGCAGACACAGACAGTTGGTGATGGTGCTGGAAGGAGAGCTGTACCTCATCCCCTTTGCCTTGCTAAAAGGAAGCTCCTCCAATGAATACCTTTACGAGCGTTTCAGCCTCATTGCCGTGCCCTCCATCCATGGCCTTGGATCCAGTTCAAAGGTTTAAACTCCCATTCAGTTGACTTAAAATAATGCCCTACCTTTACCAGTTTAATAAATCTCTAAAGCTCTGTGCTTGGATTGTTGTACTGGGATGTAAACTGTGTCGCTGTGTTCTTAGACCCACTCTCGGCGTCCTGGACCAGCTCCAAGTGGTGGAGTCTCCATGGCAGCAGTGGTAGGAAATCCTAAACTGCCTTCACCTGTGATGGACCGCTGGCTTTGGGGCCCGATGCCCACCGCAGAGGAGGAAGCTCTAATGGTTGCTGAACTGCTGGGGTGCCACCCTTTGACCAGCTCATCTGCCACCAAGGAGAGAGTAATGAGTGCCCTCACACAAGCTGAATGTGCACACTTTGCCACCCACATTTCTTGGAAACTGGCAGCTCTGGTGCTCTCCCCAAACCCCGAGGGTGTCCCTGGAGGAGCCGGAGCCAGTGTGGGAGTTGGAACGATGGGCAGAGGTGCGAGTGGAAGGCGGGGCAGCGGTGGGCGAGGCAGGAAGGGTTCCACTGGAAGTGGCTACACCATCCCAGAGTCTCTCCACATGCAGGATGACAGCAGTGATGTTGAGAGCATCTGTGACAGTCCACCTCTTCAGGAGTTCCTGCTTACAGCTGCAGACATATTGGACCTGAGGCTGCCTGTCAAGCTGGTGGTACTGGGGTAAGTCACTTGGTTTGGAAAGCATATTTAAACAGTGAGCACTTACAATTAAATCTAAATGTATTGATCCTTGGAAATATTGAGTTATAATATTTTCCAACTTTTAGGGTAATTTACTAATGTTCTTTATCTGGATACAGGTCATACCAAGAGTCCAGCAGTAAGGTCACAGCAGACGGTGTTGTGGGACTAACCAGAGCCTTCCTGGCTGCTGGTGCGCACTGTGTTCTTGTGTCCTTGTGGCCTGTACCTGTTGCAGCCTCCAAGGTTTTTGTCCATGCCTTCTACTCTGCCTTGCTCAATGGGACCAAGGCTAGTGCAGCACTCGCCGATGCCATGAAAACCGTCCAGAGCAGCAAACAGTACTCCCACCCTTCCAACTGGGCAGGTTGGTGATGTCATTCATTTATGCATTCATTCAAGGTTCACCATTAGCATAATAAAAAAGAGGATCTTAAAACTGATTCCATTATTTCACCCTTCAGGATACATGCTGATTGGCAACGATGTGAAGCTGAACAGCCCGTCCTCTCTAATTGGCCAAGCCTTGGCTGAGATTCTGCAGTATCCAGATCGAGCTCGTGATGCACTGAGGGTTTTACTTCACCTGGTGAGACATGGACACACATACAGAGATGGAATACAGCCAAGCATACACAAACATACTGATGCACCACTGCCTTTCAGGTGGAGAAGTCTCTTCAGAGGATCCAGAATGGACAACGTAATTCCATGTACACATCTCAGCAGAGTGTGGAGAACAAGGTGGGGGGTGTCCCTGGCTGGCAGGCCCTTCTGACAGCTGTGGGCTTCCGCCTGGATTCTGCAGGCACCGGTATCCCTGCTGCTGTCTTCTTTCCCACTGCTGACCCTGGAGACAGGCTCCAGCAATGCAGTACCACCTTACAGTCACTGTTAGGTATGTTAAACCAAGATATATTTCACTAATACTAATCAGACAAGTTTAGAGTATGTTTCTTTTGTTTTTCACATATTGTTGCAAAAGTTCAAGGAACTAAAAGAAAGGATTCTGTTTGAAATAATCCAGTATTTAAAATTGATCATATAACTTCACACAACCAATACCTGCTTTTAAGATGAATACAAGTTATATTGTTTATACAGGGTCTTCATGTAAATCTAAACTCATGTAAAATCAGGACTTTGTGAACACTGTGCAGGATTTTTTGTACCTACTTTGACTAAATACAACTTGTAGTGTCTTACAGCACTGTGCGTGTAATATCGCTGTCATGCTACAGAAGGAATATTTGTGCCAATCGCCTCATTAATTTCAGTGTTTGATAGATAAAGATCAAAGTGCTTAAAACTCTCACTCTGCACTCAGTGGCTGTAATATATTATGTCAGCTGTTAAGTGCAGCTCATTGTAAGTTGTAAATAAAGTGTCTTAACTGAATAATGAAGAACTTCCTTGGTTCCCATCCCTTAGGTCTGCCACCACAAGCTCTCCAAGCGTTGTGCAAACTCATCACAGCTTCAGAAGCAGGAGAGCAGCTCATCAACCGGGTAGGGCCCTGCACCTTATAAAAATACTGTCTGAATTTTTTTATTGAAATGGGTTTTTAAATCAAAATCCATTATATATATAATATTAGGGATACACGATATTGGATTTTTGGCTGATAACCAATACTTTTTCCCCTAGACCTACTTACAGATACTGCATAGCTTTCTCTGCTGTGGAATTAAAATACTACTGGTACAAATAATAATAAAAAAAAAAATATTCTGCATGGTCTTTTTTCAATTTGGCTTGCTACCAAATGCAGATGCCAAAAGGGGGCTGAAAATGATGCAACACTTCAACTTGGATTATGTATAATGTCAAATTTATTCATGACATTTACTCTCTCTAGCACAATGACAACACTTAGTGCAAATGTGTAAATTTTCACAAATCTAAACTCAACGGCACATGTGATGTCATAACGTTGTGCTGACATCCTTGTCACTGGATTGTCATATATAAACAGCGCCTTTTACTGTATATCGGTGAGTTATTTTGATGGAATGGCTGATGTCTGATATTTAACTTTATTGCTAATATCAGCCGACACCATGCCGATAATATCGTGCATCCCTAATATATATATAGATATGTAATTATAACTAGAATAAGGCATGTTGTTATACTTAAGTTGCAACTTTATTTGCCATACAACAAACTTTCTTGCTTGAAAGTCTGATCAGGAATACTAAAACATTTGCTCTGTCCTAATCTGTACTCAAATGTTGCCTAACTAGCAGCACGTCCAGTACAAAGTTTAGCTACATTATGGGTCTTTCATGCTCTTTAGTTTGTTATACCAGATAATTAATTATGCAGTGGACATGTTTATCCCGGTACATATGTAATATGTGGCAATCACAAGCTTTTAGTTAAAGAGTCATGGTGCTTTGCAGTTTAATCATGAAATATGCTCAGTCTAATCTTTGTGTTGATCACATCTATCTCTGTTAAATTAAACATTTGTTCCTTTTTTCTTCTTGAACTTTAGTCTTTGTACCTTTTTGTGTATGGCTTGTGAGCATGCAATTAAAAGCCTTTTCTCTTTTTCCTGCACCCAACTTCTGGTCTGAAGGCTGTTAAAAATATGGTGGCCATGGTAAGTGTGCATCCACCCACCTGCATTTCTGTCCATTCTGCTCCACAAAACACTAACCCTGGAGTTTTAATTTCTTGTAGAAGTTGTTTTGTTTTGTTTTTTGCACGGATCAGTCATTTATGTGACTGAAAACATATTCAAAAACAGATTGATTACATAGTCTCCTTTTTTTTTTTTACCAGCTCCACCAGGTGCTAGTTCAACTCCAGACAGGAGAAAAAGAACAGGACTTCTCCCTCCTTCCTATTCAGGTGTCCATCAGTGTGCAGCTATGGAGACTGCCAGGATGCCACGAGTTTCTGGCTGCTCTTGGTAAGTCACCAAAATAGTGCAACAACAATAAAAATAGTTTGTTTTTTTTATTATTATTATCATTAACATTTACCAAAAAAAAACTCAAAGTCAAAACATTCTGGCACACATGAAGCCATTTGACTATTTTTGTTTACAATACAAAGATATGATGATCAGTGTGTCCCTAAAGACCCACATTTGCAAGCTGATTGTATAACAGTCATTGTTTCCCATGTGCAGGATTTGACTTATGTGAGGTAGGCCAAGAGGAAGTGGTGCTGAAGACAGGCAAGCTGGCCAACCGTCGCACTTTACACTTTGCTCTCCAGTCTCTGCTGGCGCTCTTTGGTAAATCTGTTTCCTTTTTTTTTTCTGATGCTGATTTTCTCTTTTGAAAAAACGTGCTTTGCTTTGTTTTTGGAATCATTCAAAACATTATTTTATTTGTTTAACTGTTATTTTTTTAATTGTTTATCACAAATATCCTTCCTTTTCTTTGTTTTTAGACTCTACAGAACTGCCCAAGCGTCTGAGTCTAGACAGCTCATCTTCCCTTGAGTCTTTAGCGTCAGCACAGTCTGTGTCCAACCCATTGCCCACAGGATACTCAAGCCTTCCCTTTTCTCCTCCTTACTTGGACAATCAAGCATCAGATGCTATATCTGTCTACAGCCTCAGCTCTGTAACCTCATCCATGAGCTTTGCTTCTAAATCGGATTGCGATTTTCTTGGTCATCGTCAACGCAGTGGTGCCACGGCACACTATTCTATTCACAAGCACCCTCATGTTCCCCGTAGTCGCTCGTCTCCTCATGGGGCAGCTGCTGCGGGGTCTGGAGCACGGGGGGATGAAGAAGAATATGAGGGCTTTTCCATTATCAGCAGTGAACCACTGGGAAGTCATTGTGACTCTCTGCCTTTACCACCAGGCCACAGCCAGCGACACCATCGTGGAGGCCGAGGAGTTAGTGGGTCCACAGGAGCAGGGAGAGGCTACACTGTCTCAGTTTCATCAAGAGGCAGTGTCAGTACCCCCACATCGCCAGTCAAAACATCTCTGGTACCCAGCCCAAACTCACCGTTTCAGAAGGTGGGTAAGGTGAGCAGCTCAGATACAGGTGAATCTGACCAGTCCAGTACTGAGACAGATAGTACTGTCAAGTCTCAGGAAGAAAAAACTGTCAATCTTGATCCTCAAGAGCTGGCCCAGAAGATTCTGGAGGAGACTCACAGTCATTTACGTGCTGTGAGCAGCCTTCAGCGGGCTGGAGCAGAGGGTGGGACAAGTGCGGTAACCACAGCTCGAAGCAGCGCATTCCGTTCTTCTGAAACCAGCGCATTTAGCCGTCCTAACAGCAGTGCTAGTGGCCGAGCTCAGTCTTCCCCAAGACCCAAACCTCCCTCTCGTTCATCTTCCCTGCAGAAGATAAGCTCTGGATACAACAGTCCTGCAGTCTCTGAGTCTTCCCAAAAAGAGGGCAGCCATCCTTCCCCCACTCTGGACAGCAACGCACAGTTCAAATTGAAGTATCCAAGCTCTCCTTACAGTGGCCACATTTCTCATTCCCCAAGTAATGTGTCTCCCAGTTCTGGTCACCAGTCACCATCTGGGAGTGCTCCATCTCCTGCTCTGTCCTACTCCTCCACAGGTTCTACATGTTCTACATCTGCTGACGTGGCAGATTTGGACAGGCTGAGAAGAGGGGTGATTGATGAAAAGGTCCAAGCTATCCACAATCTGAAGACCTTTTGGGCTAACGCTGCAGCTCAGCAACAGCATCATCTGGGTCCCGTCAAAGCCATTCACAGCACTGCTGGACCTATTGCTTCTGCTGGCAGAGATGTGTTGAGCCTTCTAAACCTTTCTCCAAGGCACTGCTCTCCTAATGATGGCCAAGACAGTCTGGAGTTGCGAGAACTGGGACTAGATAGTAGCAAGAACTCCTCCAATGGTCACCACTATTCCAACCCTAGAAAAGTTGCCCCATCGCCTACTATTTCCACAAGCAGTAGCCCTGGTGCTCGTTCTATTCGACTACCTGCTGGCAACGGATACAAATTCCTGTCACCTGGAAGATTTTTTCCTTCTTCTAAATGCTGAAATGTTCAAATGATCATTTGTCTATATTGTCCCTGTGTGCTGGAGGAGTAGGGCACTTTTCCAAGACTAATAGTAGTCAACCAAGCTTGACTGACGGTCAGAAGGATTTCTTTGGCTAGTGTGTGTGATCTTGCAGAGGCACATGGACGCTTTGGAAACTGTCTTGTCTTTGTGCCCATAACACTGTAAATGGCAATGAGAAATACTCAACGACCTGATACTGTGTTTGTGTGTAACTGTGTCAGGTGGATCTAAATGCAATTTTTTTTGTTTGTTTGTTTTCAAAAAAAGAAATTTGTGTGGGCCAAGATGCAACAACTGTTGATTCCCTTCATTCAGATTTTTGGTTTGTTTTGAAATTTATTTGTTATTGTTATTATTGTTTGTTATTGTTGTTAATATTAAAATAATTATTATGTTTTGTAAATTAACGTTGTGTTTCACAATCAGTATTAAGCATTTTTATAAAATTAAAAAGTGAACAAACTTGTACCATGTTAAGATAGATAGAGTGGGGGGAAAAAAGATTTAATATTTTTTATTGAACTCAAAAGGGGCATTTTGCCAGATTTCTTTGTGATCTGAGTGTCTGCTCTGAAGCATGGATTCTCTTGCTATTCAGTGTTAAGTATCATGTATGACTTTTTAGCCCATGATTTTTGAAAAATAAAAAAAAAGTCAATTTCACAACCTCCATCTCTCATTTATCAGTAAACTGTTACAATAAAAAAAAAAAAACATGTTTACTTTCTTGTATTTCAGACTTGGCATTATTTTGTTATCTTGACCTTAGGGTGATATCTGTGTGCACATGCTCACTGTACACTCTTTTTCTGCTTTAAAATGGCCAGCTTGTTTTTAGGGAAATTAGAATGGTATTTATGTGTACACAATGTTTTAAACCTTGAACGCTCCCATTTTCAACTTAGGACTATAAAGGTCCTGACTGAGTCTGTGTCTTCAGATGGCCACACTGAAGAGAAATTTGCATCAAATTTTCTTTCACTTATGAAAGTGAAATAAATTTAACTTGCAAACTGAAGAATTATTGAACAATGTAAAAAAAAAAGTTACATTTCCAAAGTTGAATTTGATTAGATAGATAGATAGATAGATAGATAGATAGATAGATAGATAGATAG